TTTTTTCGAAATAGTAGTCGCCAGGCTTGCCAATATAAGAAAATAAAATAACCGTTTTTTTTAAATGACATTTTCATTATAAAATGCCCATATTTTTTAGGATAAAATATTTCAATTTAGTAAATTATTAATAACGTCACATGTATATAGAATACGTCGTGAAAAGTGGATCACTTTCAATTTTGTGCTGTTTTGATTTGGTTTATTTTAAAAGGTAATTGAAGAGATGAAGACAATTGTTTTATAGATGAGAAATTGAGGATGCATAACGGCTCCCTTTTTTAGAGCTCCAGTCCCTTAAGTCTATTTATTTTAGGTCTTTTTAAATTGTTGGTAGGTATTATTCACTTCATATCTATGTTTTTATTTAATTTGAATAATTTTGTGTAATATCTTTCAATTTGTTTTCTATACATTTTAGTATGTATTTGTTAATTACATCTTACAAAGGATGGCTTTGAAATATCTTTACAACATAGGTACTTTCCTAAAACTGGCCGAAATTTGAAACTGATTACAGTTCTTACAGGAAATCAAAATTTTACAGCACTTTGTTTATATGAGACATCTATCTAGCTCTTAATTAAATCACATTTACATTTAAATCAAGTAATTACATTTTTGTATTTAATTTATGTATTCTTAATATTCTTATTAAAACTTTAATTTGAATTTTTTGACTGTGGTAACAGAAACTTTCGCCTAACTAGAAACTTAGTCACTTAAAAATGTTGAAAGAGAATGTTATGAAAGTAAAATTCTTCCTTCTATGATGTTGTCCATGCAATTTTAGATTGTAATCGTTTTGTCCAACACCTTTTTCACAATTTATCTGAAGCAACATTATAAAAGATTTAAATCCTGGATTAACAGCATTTAGTTTTGAGATGAGTGCAGTCACAATGCAGTTTCAGAGGTAATTTTCACATGAACACTTCTTACCACAGCACAAACGCTTGTACCAATCCTTCCTCCATTCATTCATGTAACACTAAAGTAAAGTGGAAATAAATTGCATAATTTGGTATATAAAAAAGCACAAAATATTTTTAGTTTTAATTCTACTACGAGGAAAACAGTGGTTCATTCATAGCCCTCGGGTTCATTCCACTTGTACCATATTGACATTATTATGCACGTTAAAAGTAGATCGGTTTCTGTTTTTATTATACTATTACGGCAGGACAAACGATAATCATGGATTTCGCCCATAGATATGGAGGATCGTCAAACGAACATCAGAAAAGTGTTGCCAACTTAAGCTGACTACTATTTCCCCCCTAACCTCATTCACCCCGTCATCAATTTACTGGGTCTATGTCGCGACCCCCTTAAAAATACCAGCCCTGACAATTGGTTCATATTTCTGGAGATATCCCTGCAACAACTTCTCGTATGACATCTAACACACTTTGAGACAACGTGGGAGTGACATTTCTCTTTCTTACTGTCCTCTTTTTTACTTTTTTATTGATATTACTCCAAATCAATTCTATCGGATGAATGTGCAATAATAAAATGGCAAACGTCTAACGGTATGACGAAATCTTATATCCATACATATATGGGTTTAAGATTTAATCCGTTCAGCATAAACAGTAGATATTTTTTTAAAGTTGTGAGAAGATATACGTTTAACTTAGAATTGTCAAATTATAGTTTGATAAATTTGAACTGTCTTCTGTGTTGTTTTCATTGCATTTCATTTCTATTGAATTCGTAAATTGCTTCTTTTCGGTTTAATTTTTTATTATGTAATTTGTTATTATCCTTTGGTTTACGTTGTAATTAATGTTTTCAAATTCCCGATTATTTTTTTAATAATATTTTGAAAATTTTTATCTTTTTATAATATTGTCATATTCTACTGTATTTTTTTTAAACTGCTCATCTTAAATAACCGAAAATAATCAATTTTTGGTGTTTCTGTTTATTTACATCGAACGAAATTAAATACATATACATTAAACATTTATTTGACATTGTTTTTAATTTTACCAATAAAGAAAAATTAAACATATTAGAAACTCACAGAAATACTACAGTGACTACGGAAATTTATAAAAATAAATTTCCCGTTCGGCATCAACCAAACGCATATTAATTTGTTATGCCATTTCTGTATTTTTTGACTTTAAGTCACAAAACATGGAGATTACTGTTCAGTCGGACCTTAGTTATGATTAACGTGCAATCAGTTTTCCAAAATAAAGTTCTGTATGATACTTTTGTTTTCAATTTAATAGGAAACTTAGAAAAAACACAGTAACTAATGAATTTTAATAAAAACGCACGGAAAAACTCTGCTGTTAATCTATTTTTTATTTTAATTTAATTTAACACAGTACCTAGCTACTTTTAATATTATGTCATTTTTTTTTTAAATAAAAAAAAAAGATACTTTTTAAGTAATATTTTTGGCAATAATATTATAGCTTCTATAAAGTAAATCACTTGGAAAGATTTTTTTGGAGAAAATCAACAAAACATTAACAAAAACAATAAACAAACATGATACAAAAATAATTTTGTGAGCTAACAGTTAACTAGAACCATACAAAATATTTAAAAATACATATCAACTTATTTTATACAAGGAGCAAAAGAAATTATCGATTATCATCTTCTAGTAAAACACTCTCTACTAAATCACTAGTGGTTTAGGATTCAGTTAGGGAGTACCCAAAAGTTTTGCCTATTAAGAGGCATTATAGGAACAAATTATTTAAGACGTTTCTTTTTTTGTAGTGGAGATACTCCCTACTCCAAGACAGTAGCGGCTTGTATACAAAATATTGAGGGATCACCATGACAGAATATAGATCTCGATACAAATTTAGTTAAAAAACTTTTAGTGTTTCTAAAACACTCAAAGTTTTTTATCTAAATCTGTAATGAAATCTATATTCCGTCCTATTAAAAACGTAGGTATAATATATTTTTTTTTATAAATATTTAGCTTTTTGAAATCTACTTTCTTATTACTTTTATTAGAGCAACCACCAGTGCTTCTTCAGATACAGCCTCATATCAAACAAAACAATACTTCCTTTTAATTGCATCAGGCTTTAAAGTTACAAATGTCTGATTAAATACATTTAGCCGACGTACTTTCAGTGTGCACCCTTAACACAGACTGAACAACAAATGCAAAATCAAGAAAATATAGTTGAATACCGAAATAATAGACAGTATTGCCAAGAATATGTAAAGAATGCTAACAGAGGTATCATATATTCAATTGTTATGTCCACCACTAAAAAAATCTTGTCCCGTAAACTCCAAAAATGTCTCCAAGCTTTAGCTCAATGACATATGACAGCATTTTTTAGACATAACATTTTTTTATCTATTATTTCGATCTGTATCTATATTAAAATACGTCCCGACACGTTGCCGTTAATTGGTTTGAGTGAGGAACAATCTGCGCCGGTCAAGAATAATAGCTACTACCTATATTACCATTTTAAAACAAAGTAACTACATGTCCGACGGAAAACACAGTAACTACAATGCAGTTACTGTGTTTCTTCATGGGTGGTTGTATTTACTGCGTTTATTCAATGGTTTTTCGTCATTTTGGAGGTAATTACTGTGTCCGGTAAGATCATAGCTTTGTCACTTAAAACCAGTTTTATTTTATAAATACAAATGTGCAGGGCAAAACACACTAAGTACGCTTACACTAGAATCTAAATTTTGGCAAAAATGTCAGTTATTTACTGCATGGAAAACTTGATTTGACAAAAGCGACAAAAGTTAAGAGAGTATTCTCCAAAAATGCAAACTCCAATGTCTCCAAGCTTTAGCTCAATGACATATGACAGCATTTTTTAGACATAACATTTTTTTATCTATTATTTCGATCTGTATCTATATTAAAATACGTCCCGACACGTTGCCGTTAATTGATTTGAGTGAGGAACAATTTGCGCCGGTCAAGAATAATAGCTACTACCTATATTACCATTTTAAAACAAAGTAACTACATGCCCGACGGAAAACACAGTAACTACAATGCAGTTTCTTCATGGGTGGTTGTATTTACTGCGTTTATTCAATGGTTTTTCGTCATTTTGGAGGTAATTACTGTGTCCCGTAAGATCATAGCTTTGTCACTTAAAACCAGTTTTATTTTATAAATACAAATGTGCAGGGCAAAACACACTAAGTACGCTTACACTAGAATCTAAATTTTGACAAAAATGTCAGTTATTTACTGCATGGAAAACTTGATTTGACAAAAGCGACAAAAGTTAAGAGAGTATTCTCCAAAAATGCAAAAGACCGGCGTAATCCTAAAAACATTCACAATTAATTACTTTTCACCATTTTGGTCTCTTATCACGCCATCTATTTCCCGGAAAATTCTTTTAATTTCGACATTGCAATGATGAAAAGCGGGCCGAACGCAAAAACGACGAATTTTAGCCCGAAAACTGACAATAGTGCAAGATAAATTAGTTTCCCGCAATTACCAAAGAACATTTTCTTGAGGAAAACTTTCATTCTTCGGGTTTGAAGGTCCGTCATTCCATCTGGATGCCGCCTAATTGATCGTTTGGGAAGCGGATCGCGGCGGTCTGTTGATGACTAATTTTTGAAAAATAAATTCTTCGAAGTTGATGAGTTGTTAAAGAGCGTTATTAAATTTTAGCAAATATTTTAATAGAGATTTGATGCTTTCGTTCTGTTTGCCAAGTCTGGGATAATTTTCTGAAACGACGAATCTAAATGTTAGCATTATAAGCCGTAATAATGTAAATTCGCTTCATTTTGTGAGTAATAATTTGGGTGTTGAAAAAAATATTTATACTAATTAACATGGTTTTATGAATTTTAAAATTATTTTCTTATCTTAAAAACGGAAAGGGAGTCCTATAAAATTTGGTCAAGATATGATGATTAAATCCACGAGAAATTCATCAAACTCTTTATTCCTAGAGTCGGTTTTTTAAAATTACTTTATACTTTGAATTGTGAAATTTATTAATACTTACCAGCAACGGTAACATTGTGAGTTTCTGAAGCTAATTTGAAAGCGGGAGCTTCGCTGGAAATTTCGCAACGGTACGCGCCGCCGCTGTATAACCGAGTCAGATCAGTTAGGGCGATTTTACACTGATGCAGGTTACAATTGGTACCTTCTGGTTCCAATGTGATGCCTGGTACCGGAAATACGCGAGTCTTCTCTTGACCCCTGGGCATATATCTAAAACGAATAAGGAATATTATCTATTATCTATTATATAAAAGGGAAGGGAAATACAAATTAAAGTTGAAGGTAGTAGCCATGTGTGAGTTATACAGTATGGTTCAAATGAAAGGAATAAATTCATTATAATGGAAGTAGTTGGTTTTTCGAAAAAATGCTCGGACAGGTCAATTTTGTTTACTTAAAGCGCAATTTTTTAATTAGAATTCAATTTTCCCCCACCTCCCATTTTTATACAATGACGTCATTGACAATTTTTTTAAATAGTAACCCCAATTTTTTTTTCTTGATTTTGATAGATCTTGCAATTTCCTACTCGGAAACATAATATTTGAAATATCTTACATAACATTTTTTTTTGAATAAAAGTCATTTAAAGATCAGACACATAAATTTTATTTTATTATGAGAACACAATAAATGAATATAAGATAATTATTTGTAATTAAGTGCTTAATCTAACAAAATATTAATAATAATAATAATAATAATAATAAAAAAGAATTTGTGAAATTGGCATTAAATTCTTTTTATTATTATTATTCTTTTAGATGAAGCACAATTACAAAAAATCTTTTATTCATTTATTGTGTTTCAAAATAAAATAAAATTTATGTATCTGATCTTTAAGTGACTTTTATTCAAAAAAAAATTTATGTCGGATATTTCAAATATTATGTTTCCGAGTAGGAAATTGCAAAATCTTTCAAAATCAAGAAAAAAAAATTGGGGTTACTATTTAAAAAAATTGTCAGTGACGTCACTGCCCAAAAACGGGAAGTGGGGGAAAATTGAATTCGATTTAAAAAATTGCGCTTTGAGTAATAAAAATTGACCTGTCCGAGCATTTTTTCGAAAAACCAACTACTTCCATTATAATGAATTTATTCCTTTCATTTGAACCATACTGTATGTACAAATTAATTTATTTTACACATATTTTTCGGAGAAGTGTTAATTGGGACTACAAAAAATATTTAGGTAATATATTAGATACAAGATTTCGGCTGGCAGTTCCATTTTAAAAATCTGATGAAGTCAACACATGACTTTTCTGTCTACTTATTACATGTTTTTACGATTATTTTGTACAACCCATTGTACCACTTCTGTAACGGTTTAGAAGATGAAAGAAACAAATTCATTTTCCACATACATCTTACTCGAAACATTTTTTTATATACTGTGAAGTTTTTTTATTTTAAAACAAGTTTATTTATTATTAATTTATTTATCTACTTATTTATTTTAAAAGAATACTATTCTAATTCATATATATTTGGAATATCTTTGAAACGTTCACTATTTATATTCACAATCCAATACTTTATTCTCAACTATCTATATATCACTGATTGCCTTTTTCCTCCACCAATATTTATATACAAATTCAAAATTATGGTGAAGGTTCCAGAATGCTCCTCCGCTAAACTAGAAATATCTCGTTATATTTGTAATATACTAGAAAAGAAATCGAAAGCACCTCCGCCATAGTCATCACATATGTTTGGTCTTACAGGGTCTTATTACGTATGATAATCGGACAAGTTGAGCCTTAAAAGCCAAATAAAACAGAGAGGGATTTAAAGGATTAAAACATGACTGAATAATGACATTCACATTACATTGTCCCCTACTTAAGAGATAGTTTCTCCTGGAACTCTTACGAAACTAAAATGGAATGGTTATATCTGTAACTGAACCATCATTTACAATTTCGAGTTGCATAGAAGTAACAAGGGACTGTCTTCGCTGTAACCTGAACACTGGGCGAATGGCCAGACCAGTATTTGGACTCCGTTATCTTGAAAGATTACTTCCACTATGTTCTTAATGATCCTCCAATTCAGCTGATTTCGTTTTATCTTCGGCATGGCTAGTTTCTGTACATTGGACTCCCGTACGTGCTCCCTTAAACTAAGTAATGCTTCCCATACATCAAGATAAGTGCATCGATCTCGGAGGTTGTTCTTCGTTATCAAATAGAAATGGTAGCGCGATTCGTCTTAAAGTTTTAAGGCTTTTCCAGGGGCTGGCAACTGACGTTGAAGTTTTAGCAGTCGACCAAACTTCTTACGGAACACATATGCCAGTCCTCGCGCGTCGTTGATGCTGGCGAAAGTACTATGGACCAGCGACTAGTCTTTTGAAACCGAGAGCGTATCTTGTTGTTGCTCGGTCGTAACACCATATCTAGCTTTAAAGCAGCTACCTCCATCTAGATCTTTAGATGGACACTGTTGATCAGACTATCACCAGATTGTCGTTAGGAGTCATGAACAACGGCTCCACCAACGTGTGAACGTTGAGGTGGTCCAGCGTCTGAAGAGGGGGAAACGGAGGGAGAAAGTTTGATGGGAGCATCGAATTTTTTAAAGGTAGGAACTTGAAAATTGGAAATCCAGCTACTCATCATAAATAAATGATGACGTAATACAAGGTTTTGGATTTTTGCATTTTAAAGGGGGAAATGGGTAGTGAACGTTTGTATGGTAGTATAGATTTTTTTAAAGGTAAGAACTTGAAAATTGCAAATTTAGCTCATTATCCATAAATGATGTAATACAAAGTTTTTAAATTTTTACATTTTAAGAAAGGGAAATGGGGGGTGGTGAACGTTTGTATGGGAGTATAGATTTATTTAAAGGTAGAAATTTAAAAATTGGAATTGGGGCTACTCATCATAAATAAATATTGACGAATTTCAGGGTTTGAGGATATTTACATGTTAAGGGGGGGAAATTTGGGGTAAAAGTGGGTAGGAAGTATCAAATTTTTTAAAGGAAGGAACTTGAAAATTTTAATTAAAGCTACTCATCATAAATAAATAATGACGTTATGCAAGGTTTTGGATTTTTACATTTTACGGGGGTTAATGGGTGTGAATGTTTCTATCGAAGTATAGATTTTTTAAAGGTAGGAATTTGAAAATTGGAATTATAGTTACTCATGATAAATAAATGATGATGTATTTCTGAGTTTTGGATTTTTGCATTTGTACATTTATATGAAAGTATGGATTTTTTAAAGGTAGAAATTTGAAAATTGTAATTGTAACTACTCATCAAAAATAAATAATGACGTATTTTTGAGTTTTTGGATCTTTAAATTATAAGGGAGGGAAATAGGGGTGAACATTTATATGGGAGTATAGATTTTTTAAAGGTAGGAACTTGTAAATTGGAATAGTAGCTACTCATCCTAAATAAATAATTACGTATTTTTGGGTTTTTAGATTTTTACATTTTTAAGGAGAGAGGAATTGGGGTGAAAGTTTTTAAAGGAGTATCGATTTTTTAAATATAATATTTCAGGGATTTGGATTTTCACAATTCAAGGGGGGAAAGCAGGGGTGAAATTTTGTATGTGATTATCGGTGTGATTATCGGGACCTAAAAAATGGATTTGTAGCTACTCCTAAATAAATACTGACCTGTTACAGGGTTTTGGAATTTCACATTTCAAGGAAGGGAAACTATGGTAAAATAGAAATAAAAAAATAAAAAATGAAAAAAAAAATAAATGAAAATAAATAAAAATAAATAAAAATAAATAAAAATAAATAAAAATAAATAAAAATAAATAAAAATAAATAAAAATAAATAAAAATAAATAAAAATAAATAAAAATAAATAAAAATAAATAAAAATAAATAAAAATAAATAAAAATAAATAAAAATAAATAAAAATAAATAAAAATAAATAAAAATAAATAAAAATAAATAAAAATAAATAAAAATAAATAAAAATAAATAAAAATAAATAAAAATAAATAAAAATAAATAAAAATAAATAAAAATAAATAAAAATAAATAAAAATAAATAAAAATAAATAAAAATAAATAAAAATAAATAAAAATAAATAAAAATAAATAAAAATAAATAAAAATAAATAAAAATAAATAAAAATAAATAAAAATAAATAAAAATAAATAAAAATAAATAAAAATAAATAAAAATAAATAAAAATAAATAAAAATAAATAAAAATAAATAAAAATAAATAAAAATAAATAAAAATAAATAAAAATAAATAAAAATAAATAAAAATAAATAAAAATAAATAAAAATAAATAAAAATAAATAAAAATAAATAAAAATAAATAAAAATAAATAAAAATAAATAAAAATAAATAAAAATAAATAAAAATAAATAAAAATAAATAAAAATAAATAAAAATAAATAAAAATAAATAAAAATAAATAAAAATAAATAAAAATAAATAAAAATAAATAAAAATAAATAAAAATAAATAAAAATAAATAAAAATAAATAAAAATAAATAAAAATAAATAAAAATAAATAAAAATAAATAAAAATAAATAAAAATAAATAAAAATAAATAAAAATAAATAAAAATAAATAAAAATAAATAAAAATAAATAAAAATAAATAAAAATAAATAAAAATAAATAAAAATAAATAAAAATAAATAAAAATAAATAAAAATAAATAAAAATAAATAAAAATAAATAAAAATAAATAAAAATAAATAAAAATAAATAAAAATAAATAAAAATAAATAAAAATAAATAAAAATAAATAAAAATAAATAAAAATAGATAAAAATAAATAAAAATAAATAAAAATAAATAAAAATAGATAAAAATAGATAAAAATAAATAAAAATAAATAAAAATAAATAAAAATAAATAAAAATAAATAAAAATAAATAAAAATAAATAAAAATAAATAAAAATAAATAAAAATAAATAAAAATAAATAAAAATAAATAAAAATAAATAAAAATAAATAAAAATAAATAAAAATAAATAAAAATAAATAAAAATAAATAAAAATAAATAAAAATAAATAAAAATAAATAAAAATAAATAAAAAAAATAAAAATAAATAAAAATAAATAAAAATAAATAAAAATAAATAAAAATAAATAAAAATAAATAAAAATAAATAAAAATAAATAAAAATAAATAAAAATAAATAAAAATAAATAAAAATAAATAAAAATAAATAAAAATAAATAAAAATAAATAAAAATAAATAAAAATAAATAAAAATAAATAAAAATAAATAAAAATAAATAAAAATAAATAAAAATAAATAAAAATAAATAAAAATAAATAAAAATAAATAAAAATAAATAAAAATAAATAAAAATAAATAAAAATAAATAAAAATAAATAAAAATAAATAAAAATAAATAAAAATAAATAAAAATAAATAAAAATAAATAAAAATAAATAAAAATAAATAAAAATAAATAAAAATAAATAAAAATAAATAAAAATAAATAAAAATAAATAAAAATAAATAAAAATAAATAAAAATAAATAAAAATAAATAAAAATAAATAAAAATATATAAAAATAAATAAAAATAAATAAAAATAAATAAAAATAAATAAAAATAAATAAAAATAAATAAAAATAAATAAAAATAAATAAAAATAAATAAAAATAATTAAAATAAATAATTGAAAATAAATAAGTGAAACTTATAATATGAAAAATATGAGGACTGAATTAATTATGTTTCTCAAATACCCGACAACGCGACAGCCTAAGGGAGGACTGCTTTATATAACCTATTAGAGAGTCAGTTTCGCATGCAATTTAGTGATATTAGCAAATGAGAGCCTTACCAGAAATGTGGTAAAAAATGAAATTCTCAATTGGATTATAATTAGATTACTGTTATTCTATTACATACATATCATGAATCCTAAAAAATATATTATCCCTTCTTTCTTTGGAAAGTCATGCATTTTATTACGAAGCCGCGGGTAACAGCTAGTAGATAATAAAGATAAGTGGCCTGAAGACCTAAAAAATACCATAGTTTCCTGAATAACTTTCAAAGTTATTTGACCAGTCACTAATCTAATCGCTCTATAATAAGCGATTATAAAAGTAACTACTGTTTCACAGTATTAAAATCTCTTTAAAATCAAAAAAATACACAATAATGATACAAAATTTAAAGAGTTTTGTCTATATTTCATATTGTATTAAAGACATCAAAAATACAGGTTTGCAACAAAAACTGCATATAACTTTTTGACATTTTCTCATAGATTTTTCTTAATAAAACCAGAAAAAATATTTAAAAATTCTATTCCCAAACTCATGACACTACCTTAGTTTTCGCGAAAACTTAGAAGCCTATATTAAAAGACTTCTCCAGCATTTCGTGATTGCAAAAAAGATGAGTCGTCAACATGCTAGTTGATTACTAATTGCTCAGGAGGAAAAAAGAAGATAGATAGCGAAAGCGTGTTCGTAGAAGTAACAACAAGAAGAAGAAAAAGGTTTCTCAGGCAGAAAAGTAAACATCTAATGTTGAATATGTCAAGAAGAAATAGTTTTATCTTTTAATCATAAGAAAAATTATGCAAAGTTAATTGTAAGCAAATTGAGTTTTTTCATCTTTGTTGGGCGTTTTTAAATTAAACGTCTAATGTTTTGCCGAAAACTGTACCCGAAAATGAAAAATAGAGTCAGTGCTCTATAAAATATAAAATATACCAAAATATACTAAAATTTTCTTTGCACACCTGTGTAATATTTTTTTAAAAATATATAAAGTTATTATCTCTTTAAAAATTATGATGTGATTATAAAAACTGGCTATTGGGTCACTTAAAGTTATTATTACCTGAAGAACTCTTGATCATCTTTGTACCATTTAACTGCGTATAGCTCTTCATTACCCATGTCAAAATGACAGTCCAACTCCATTATTTCTCGTAAATCTGCTACAACTGGCGCAGTCATACTTGTCAGCCGTAGACCCGTTGAACCATTTACTGAAATGAAAAAATATGTTTTTATAAAATTAATTAAATTTTTATGAACATTTAAATATAAAAATAAATTTGTAATAATTGGAATTATCATTAGTGGAAAGTAAATACATAATCCACAAAAATGTTAAAAGTAATAAATGTTTTTTTAAATACACATTAAACTTAAAGCAACGTATCAAAAATAAATCAAACAACTAGGTTTTTACAGCAGCCAATGACTTACATTGCACTAAAAGATTACTTAATAGTCTAAGCGGTGGGTAAAGAAAAAGGGCGTCTATTCGCAAAAGGTCGGAAAGAAATTAAATTTGATAGAATGGTAGACATGGGTCCGCTGATATTACACCTAAATTTGCGACCACGGGGGTTGCCGCTCGAGGGGTGGAGGAATGAAAACTCTACGTCGCGATACTTTTCTGGAAATAGCGCTATTATGGTAAGTGCTATCGAAAAAAGATTTAAATGAAATATGTACAAGACAAAATCGTGCGCAATTTTAATTACCTCTTTTTTCTCCTTATTCGTTATTGTAAAAGATCTAGATTTGCTTGTGTTGTTGACTGCTAAAGCCAGAGAGATCCCGAATCTTTATTAGCGCAAGCCGGGTAGAGATAAAAATGAGGATGTGGATGTGGCACAACATCGTCGTTGTTTAATCAAGACAAAATTCGATTCCTCAAGACTTTGGAAAAAAATCCAACATTAACAGACGCGATTCAGGTATTTGACGACCCCAATGCAGAATTAACCGAAGTCGTTGCCGCTGGCGAACTGTTTATATTGAGGCAGTATCGTGCAGGAAGGGAACATCGCAAGTTGGACTCTCTGCGGTATACGACTGTGTAATAATAATACAGACTTAAAAAGTATTACTCTTTTATAAAAAAAATATAACATAATTATTTTATAGCAATCTTCGTCTTAATCCGCGCTGAAATTTTCATTTTGTTGAACATTGCAAATTAAACCCCTACTTTGGCGCGTTTTAGAGCGAAAACTATTGGCTGCAGACAAAAAAATGTAAAGATCAAAATTGTGCAACATTTTGTCCTGTACACATTTTATTTAAACTTTTAGCACTTACCAAAACGGCGCTATTTCACTAAAAGCGTCGCGGCGCAGAGTTTTCATCCCTCCACCCCTCGAGCGGCAACCCCACGAGGTTACAAACTTAGGTGTAGTATCAGGGGATCCATGTCTACCATCCCACTAAATTTCATTTCTTTCTGACCTTTGCGAATAGAAACTACCCACCGCTTGGACGGTTAACACGTTAATATTATTAAAAATAATAATAATAAACCTATCAGGTAGATTTTGAATTATTTAAATAGATAATGAAAAGTCAAGAGTAGATAATCGAGCAAAGGCTAGATTCGAATTCTGGCCTTTATTTCGCTCTATCAGCTGGGGCGGTTTCTTAATTGGTTCATTTGTGTGGTGTACACCCAGTTAAATTTCATAAAGTCACATTATTTATTAAATTATTTAAATAACATACAAATATAATATTGTTATTAATTTAATACAGCTTAATATCTATTTTTTTGATATGCCAATGTGCTCTGGCTCGTCCTGTCTTTGTCAGTGCACTATGCTGATTGAGCACAAGAGGTTTCCGCAAATGTCTGTTAAAAAAAAAGTCAACAGATCCTTGAAACAAAAATGTCATGGTTAAAACCACGCTATTTTGTGCATCGCACATAAACAAGGCGTGACTTCACAAAGTAGGGCGGGGCAGACAAATTTTTCCAATCATTGAGATATAATAAAAAGAAGCTTTTATTATCCTCGATAGTTGCAAGGATTGCAAAATCTAAAAATTATTTTCTTCTTTTACTATTTTTTTGCCACGAAAAATTAAATGTGCTCTTAGGACTCCAGGACCCTAAAACTGGTGACAGTGCTGCTACATTCCTTAATAATAAATTTGTGATAGCGATCTAAATTAGTTAAAGACAAGTTAAAAGCCTATCGGATACTAGATTGGTGACAGCAGTATTAAATCTCATTTATAGAGCCACTATTTATTTAGAAACCTTTGTTGCACTGTATATACATACAACTGGTTATGTTTATTTTGAATTCGATAAAATCATTTTGCGATATAGGTACAGTCGATATTTACAATTTGTCTGACGAAGCGAATTTCCATTTAGGTAGCTATAATAGCAAGCAACACAGCCATTATTGATATCTGCAGGAAATTCAGCAAAAACCATCTAGAAGCTAACAGTATGATATCCGGCGTACGGCATATCTATATAAATTCAAAATAATATAATTACTGAAAGCTGTTATTTTGATTAAAAATTATTAATTAACATGAATAATAGTATTATATTACGGAACAAGAAATGTAAATAATTGTATAATGCCAACGAATTAAAAAATTACATGCAAAACAAAGCATTCCATGAATTCGTTATTTCTTTATAATTTAGTAATATATTGTATTTTTTACGGTAAAATGAATATATAAAAATTCTTAAAATTCTAGATATTTTGAATAATTATTTTAATAATTTTATTAGCATAATTTGTTCATAAGGTAGTTATTATACTAAAGTTTGATTAAACTACGATATATTAATTTTAAATTATTAGAATATTCGTATGCGTAAAATTTTGTTATTGCTGCATGGTATCAAAAATTAATATTGAGTGTTAATGGTACACTTGTTTAAGTAGTTATATTAGAATATTGAAAAGTGTTCAGATTTGAACATAATAAATCAACATCCTGTATATCAAATTAATTATTTATTTAATTAAATTGTTTAATTTCGTATGCAACCTTCCAATTTCGAGTTCGATTTGTAAATTATAATAATAAAATTGCTGATTAAATTAAAAAACTATTTTCAAAACATTGAACGAGATCGAAATTGGAATAATATATTTTTTGAATGTAGATTTAAACATTAAATAATTCTAATTGTTATTGTAAATTGTTTTGTTTATAATATTATAAATTTAGGTGATAATGAGAAAATAGATACATGAAAACCATCTTGTAGTATTAATTACAAAATTCATCTTTGAAATCTATACATGGTCCTTCGAGCAAAACTTTGAAAACAAAAAAAAATGTTGACATCTATGGAGATATCAAACCAACTGGTACTGGATCAACAAAACCTGGGGAAAAAACTGGTCCAAACACTATCCAACGCCAAAAAGACTTAATTTCAAGAAAAACAGATGAAAATATAGCTAAACGGCTTAACCCTTAACTGGTCCGGCACTCTTAAGTAACGTTACTGGTCCGACGTAGTCTGCGAGACAAATTGTTTTTGGAGGGCAAAAAAAATAAAATAGGCAAAAGGAAATGTTCTATTTAACATATATGTTAAAAACATTACTTAATAATAATAATAATAATAATATGTAAAACTAAACATATTTAAAACTAAACAAAAACAAAATTGAACCCAAAACTGAAACCCGCAAATACATTTTGAAAAAATACATATTTTTAAACAAATGGCAAAAATACAAGAAAAAAAATTCTTTCGTATTGCAATATTAAATTGTCAAAGTGTTAGGTAAACAAAAACTAAAATAAAATACAAATTTAAAGAAACATTGGTGTTTCAGCATGAGCTAAAGTTCACTACCCTTGAACTAATTTATACCACAGCTTTTAGGAAACTGATGCCAGCCTATCGCAAACATGGCTACATTTCAAGATACAATAGGGAAAAGATTAGATGTATAGACCTTCCTGTGGGAGGTACCAATAACCAATAAGAAAGAATTGTTTATATTGCGTAGTCTGTCAGACGATGCCGGACCAGTTCAGGGTTAAAGAAGTGGAGGCCGTATGGAATAAAATAAGAGTTATTGACAGTGAAATCCAAAAGATGAAGATTCCAGAGCACGTTTACTTTGAAAATGCGTACTTCAAACAATTACAAAAGAAATATGAAGAAACCAAAGACTACTTGGTAGAATGCCAAAAATTTAAAGAAAAAAGTAAATCAGAGGCAGTAACAAAGGTAAATCTTGAGGACACTGATCAAGAAACGAGATTAAAAAAGCAAAAATGGAAATGTGACCAATTAAACAGACTCTTTTAAAAAATATACAAAGAAATGGATAAAAATATAATAAACTCCAAAGATCAGTGGCTTATAAACACAGCAGAAAAGACATGGGGGAGTATTTGTGAATTACGTGAGGAGATTATGGCTGTTAAAATAACTTTCCAAGACAGATAAGATGTAGAGGAACTAATGAAGAATATTTAAGAAAAAATTGCTAATAATGGGAATCCAAATCAATAGGATAGAAGTAGACCAAACATTTAGTTTCCAAAAATAAAACTACCGATGTTTGATGGGAGCTATGACCAATGGTTTACATTTCATGACATTTTCCAAAAAGTTATTCATAAAAACACTTGCCTCACAACCATTGAAAAAATACAGTATTTAAAAACGAATGTTCGAGGAGAAGCTAGCAAAATGATAAAACATTTGGACATAACTGAAAACAACTACCAGTGAACAATGAAAGAGCTGTCGAAAATCAGCATATTCAAATAATGTCAGACAGCCAAGCGGCACTTAAGGCCATATCGAGTCAGAAAGTTACGTCGAGGCTGGTATGGGAATGCATAAAAGAACTAAGAACACTGGCAGACCGAAATAGAGTAAAACTATTTTGGGTGCCAGGTCACAAAGGGATCGAAGGCAACGAAAAGGCTGACGAACTTGCAAAAAGAGGGTCAGAAGAAACACCGGAACCAGACACAAACCCAGGAGTACCAAAAAGTACAGTCCGGGGTTTTATAAATGACTGGATTCGGGAACAACATATCAACTATTGGGGAATCAACCCAAAACAGGCACATGGAAAAGCCTTTATAGGCAGACCATTTCCCAAAAGAACTGGAGAACTACTCTTAATGAATAGGAACCAGTTGAAAGTGATAACAGGGTTCATGACTAGGCACGCCCCAGTAAAGGGACACTTGAACAAAATTGGCATGTACA